CTCCCAGACCCGCCCCCACCCCCGAATGGTTTGGTTGCATCAGCAAGTACTGGTCCGTCGGAATTGCCCGAGGTTCACAAAATCTATGATAACGTCGATTTGGATTGGTTACATCCCATTTTCACCATGGCTTCTGAACGTCCTCCCACGGATCGTGTTGATGATCTTGGTATATCACGAGAATGGCTCACACCATCTAATATTCCACTTCCATCACGAGGTAGGCTGTATACATCGAGACGGACAATGACCGCTTTTGCTTGTTCCAATCTTTACCCTATCCCATCCAGGCATCACGAAGAAGAAGAGGCCGAAGAGGATGATATTGTTGACAAGTCCGAACAATGCATCGACTCCAAAGCTTTTCATCAAGCGTATTCTCCGAAACGCGGTACCACAAAATCCTCTCAAACATACGCACCGCCCATTTCTTTATGTTCTCTTCATTGCCACACAGAGTCGCTTCAGTCAGGAGATCGGACACAGTCATACGAGCGTCAACCAGGAGACGGTGTTCATTCACGTCACACTAGTCTCCCAAACCCAGTTTCATTGGATGTGTTATTTTCCTCAACTGGGGTTAGCGGTTCATTTTCACAAACAAACTCTGCTCAGTCGAAAGATCTGCCCGAACCTCTGGCCGTTATGAGAACTACTACTTCATCATCCGATCGATATGTGGATGAAACTCAACATCTTCCCTACTATAACTTGTCTAGTCCTGAGGTGAGCTCGATCTAAAGAGAGTGCGATTTTCCATACCCGATTGACCTTTTATTTACTTTTCACCTCGTTTGTTCAGTTGTGTAGGTGAATGTATATTAGGCGAATGCTTAAACCTTACGACTACAGAAACCCTTTGCATAAAGTTTCAGTTCTTATAACGATCAACCATACACTTCCGTGCGCCGGTTTTGGTTACTGTCTTTTAGTTTCCCATTTGGATCAAAGAGCAGGAGATTATAAAGTTTGGAGCAGAATCAAGGATAAAATACAGAATTCATAATGACTGAGGTTTC